TGCGTTCACAAGGTTTCGGTGAAAAACGACGTTTTTTGTGGCTTGTGTAAAAAAGACAATTTCTGATGCTTCATTCTAACTATTCACGAGGCATTTCTTTATCTTTTTTACACAAGCCACAAAAAACGTCGTTTTTCACTGAAACCTTGTGAACGCACATAAAATGTCCGGATATACACGCGGGATTTTTGTTTCGAATTTTTTAACTTCTCGGAATTTGGATTTCGACAATGGGTGCATATGCACCTAGGAGCCAAAGGCAATTACCGATTTTGCATGCAGTATCTCATTCTCGGGGTGCTGTACAGAAGTGTGTACTCTGATAGATGTTATCTGTTGAAACATACAACGTACGTACCAAAACGCTGCCAAGATTTGGTTCATCTCTAGTTATGTATATAATGTATAAATAAGTACCAAGAAGTGCTTATTGTCCGCCCTAATTATGCCTATGTGAGCTCGTTAGGTTTTGATCAATGGTATGCCAGTATGTGTTCATGTACCCGGCAATGTACATTTTGCATGTGTAGAGGTACACTATCGGTTTACATAGAAGCAGTAACAGTTTTATGTTGAACCCTTGTACCGACCGAACACCGAACGTTTGTTGGAAGACATAGCAATTGCGAAGGATTTGAATGGCAATTTTTGTTATATGTGGATGGCAAGTTCAGTTGGCAAGCATGACAAATCCGCCTAGTTTATTTTTTTTGCCAGGATTTGGCGTGCTTGTTAACTAAATTTGCCATCCTTGCGGCAACTAAAATTGTCATAAAAATGTTTGTTTTGCCATGTCTTTCTGCGGAATGTCATCACAATAACATTCCCCATGTTTCGAAGCCCATTAAGGCGCCACTGAGACGGGAATATAAGGAAATTTGGATAATCTGTTCCTGATTATAGCAAAATCCCCTTACGCTCCAAACAGGCCTGAAGCAAACAGTGTTGTCGGAGAAGTCTGTGAGGTCAAGCAACAAAGGTTGGTGTCGTGAGGACAATGGAAATGTTTGTTTTTATTTCATAAACAAATGGAAGTGGATTTAGGTATGGTAGTTGGTTGTGGCAAAATGGCAGGATCATATGTCGGATCTCTCTAAAGTCTGAAGTCTGAACCCATCCTGGAGATGGAAGCAGAGAGCAAATTTGGAGGCACCCCCTGAGGTCTCCAACACGTACAGTCATTGACGCACGCCACTGCCATGTGGCGATCTTCCCCTGCGATGCCAATATGCCACCGCCATCGTAGGGGCTGCACACGTACACTATCCGTCTAGTACGTGCCCGTCTAGCCCTATCTATCTGTCTGCCCACCGACGCCGATGGCCGCGCCGAATCTTCGTGTCGGCCGTCCCGATCCATGCATCAACACACGAAAAATAACGCATGATTTTGTCTAAGCCGTTCATATTTTTGGCGAGCCATGGCCATGGGCTACATGGTTCGCGTTGTGACGGTAGACCGAAGTAGATATCCACCTCCGCCCACAGCTCCGGGAGCACGTTATTCTGCACCATTACGCAAACCAAAACGAAGGGCTGATTAATTATGCCAGCGACGAACTGTTTCCTGAGCCATTCGTCACCCTAAGCTCCACCGTAAATATCAGAATTTGAACCACACTGGCGGGGACGGGTGATGCATTCCTCCACGGCACCGCCAGCACCGCCTAGCAACAGCCTGGTGGACGGCTCACCTCTCTCACAGTCTACTGCTAACTTCCAACGTAATTACTCTACTACGTAGAGAGTTTACGCACTAGCGGACGGTGTCATCTTGCAGCACAACCAGTTGCACCACCCAACAAAAGCCGGTTCACTTTACCTGCCGTTTGCTTGCACTGACAGCTCACTGACTTAACCTCCAGCCGGAGATTACTGCGGGGCCGCGCGCGGCTGTAACGTACGTGCGGTCCTTGCGGCCGTTGCAGCCCGCTGGCCGGCCCCGTATGCCGCATGCCCCGCGCGCGCGCGCCCGGCCGGCCGATGCACCGGCGCCAGCCCGTGCCGTGCCGTTCCCGCGACCCCTCGTTTGTTCTCTTCCTAACCGGTAACCGCTGCCGCGTGCATGCCACGAGCACGAAAGGTGCCACCCGGCCGTGCCATGGGGCGGGTGGGCCGGCGGGCGCACGCGACGGCCCTGCAGGGGGCTGGAGATAGCAGTAGATGGATAGGATGGAGCCAGCGCTGGTCCTGTCATCGCCCCTCCCTGCGTGCGTACTCCTACGTGCCAATTTTGCTCCCGGGCTGCTCCATCCGCCGCTTAAGGTAGTATCTGCATGCATGCATGCACGCACGCACGCTGATCTGTTGAGCTGTGGGCGGGGACGGACGATCGATCGTACGCCAGAAACGTATGCCCGCTGGTGACATCGCTTGTGTGTGAGAGCCCGTCGGTCGGTCGTGTGCGACCTGTTTTTCTTAATGATTGGTGCTGCTAAGTGCCAAGGAACAATATCTTGAAAATTAGCGCAAAAAAGAAAACAATGTCTGCAAAACCATCAATCTATGAACTGATCGATACGTGTATACTTGCAAGTGTCCCTTGATGAATAGATTGCGACGAACACGATTTTTCTAGAATCCACCGTCGGCGCATGCTTTTCAGAAGTGTGTTGTATTTCTATTTTTATGCAATGCATATTTTACATGCTCTCATGTATTCACGTATGTATTTTGTATATTTATACATGCACCGAACCGCTGAAATATATCGATTTATATATGCAACCGGAATAGTTTTCTAATACCCTTGTTTTTTTGAAAAATTGTAATTTGTGAAAATGCGTGAATTTTTGGTTGTGGGTCCAGGCATTGCAAATTTTAATTGTACTTGATCATGATTGAAATGCTATCATATGAATTTTAAATGTACTCGATGCTTTTCTTAAATGCATTCAAATGTTATGGAATCAAGACTTAAATTCATTAAAATGCATTTGAAGCTTTCTAAATCTGAACTAAAATTAAGAAAAATGCATTTGAAGTTTGACTAGATCATGATTAAAATGCATTTCAAACTTTTGTGAAATGTATACACATATTATCGGATTATGGCTGACATGCATTTCGAATGCATTCGAAATGATGCTATTTTTTGGAACTTTTGTGAAAGTGTCCTAATATTATTGAATCAAGATCGAAATACAGTGTAATGCATTTCAAATTACTGAACCATTGGTAAAACTAAGTGATGCATTTCAAATTTAATGATATCTTTACTTCATGGAAAATTGAAACAAAGCACATAGAAAATGTGTTCGAACACATTTCAAATATATAGTTTTTTGAAAATATGAAACTTCAATGATTTTTCAAAATTGCGGATCCCATATTAAATATAAATCAGTACGTTGAGGTATAGAAATGGAGTGTGAATCTGAAAACACCATGGAAGGCTCTAATGGGTGTGCTATGTCGCTTGCGTGTTATGGTAGAGCAGATTAACGCAAACTAAACATCATATCATTATCATAACCAATGTCCTTTTTTGAACAATAATTGGAATTGACAATAAATAGTTAGTCTGGGTAGCTTTTTTCGAACAAACCAATCATTGTCAATTTCAATTTAAGGACAAGTTGATCATTTCCTTTATGACAATCTTTTAACGGCCAACAGGTAATTTTCACCAAACACACACGAAAAAGATACGATTTTATAATCGACTGAAGTTTTACAAATGTTTTATTATTTATATTTCCGTGGCACCATCCCTCAGTTATATAACGAATCATTTCGTTCACCCTCCTTTCTTCCACTCCTACATTTCTGTGGCACTATATTTCCCTTTCGCCGAGCGCCCCCCTCCCCCTCCTCATTTTTTTTTCTATAAAGCATCGTTCCGCTCGCCCTCCTTTCTCCACATTCCCCGTGGGACTATGTTCCCCCTTCTGCGCAGAGCTCCCCCCCCCTTCCCAATTTTTTTCTATAAAGCATCGTTCCG